AAAAAAAAAAAAAAAACAACAACACCAAGACCCTAAACATGGCCATGGTTATGGCCACCTAAACAATTGTTGAGGTCACATAAAATACTACAAATATGTTTGATTTGTCTAATTTTATCAGTGTATAATTAGTTAGTGTGTTTGAAAACATTAGTTGATAGGATGATTTCAAATGGTTAAGTAATAAATATTAGTTATTCTATTAGTTCTCAATTAATAATTACAATTATCAATTGCTCCTAATGGCCCAACCAAACACATCTATCATGTTTTTGGGTAGCCTTAACAATTAATTTTACAGAGGAAATGATTGGTATACACTTGGTTTGACACACTTTTTAATGCTTGTTCAGTTTAGCTATTAACAATATAATATAAGTGTAGCTAATTTAATCAGTTTTTGCATCATGTGCATGGCTTTATTTTTAAGTTTGTCTACCTTTAATTTCAAACTAAAAAATAATGATTTTTAATGAGTTAGTTGAATTGGAAAGTATACCAATCAATATCTTTTGGGGAAAATGAGTGATACACACTTAGTTTGACATATATTTTATAACTTTTGATTAGGGGTGAATCTTATAATATTATAGTTATTTCTCTTTTATTAATTATTATAAAATATGCAGTGATTGTAAAATTGCAAACTCTCTTTTTAATACTCAAGAAAACATTGTTCATATCATGGACTGTGAAGACCTTGACTTACAATACATATGGAGAGCAAAGAGCAAAGACCTTGACTTTACAATTTGGATACAAACAACCAAGACCAGTCTCTTAGAAGATGTTTCAGTGATTGAGAACTTAAAATTTTCACTTTGGAGCTTTCAAGTTCGAATCCCATAATGGGTAAGGAGGGGTTTGGTATGGAGAGGACTATTTCTTATTATATAACTCATCATCTAAAAAAAAAAAAAAAAAACACCAAGACCCTAAACATGGTCATGGTTATGGCCACACAAACAATTGTTAAGGTCACACAAAATACTACAAATATGTTTGATTTGTCTAATTTTATCAGTGTATAGTTGGTTAGTGAGTTTGAAAACATTAGTTGATAGGATGATTGCAAATAGTTAAGTAATAAATATTAGTTATCAATTAATAATTACAGTTATCAATTGCTCCTAATAGCCCAACCAAACACATCTATCATGTTTTCGGGTAGCCTTAACAATTATTTATATGGAGGAAATAATTGGTATACACTTGGTTTGACACACTTTGTAATGCTTGTTCAGTTTAGCTATTAACAATATAACACAAGTGCAGCTGATTTAATCGATTTCTGCATCATGCAAATGGTTTTGTTTTTAAGTTTGTCTACCTTTATTTTTAAGTTTGTCTGTGTTTGATTTTAGACTAAAAAATAATGATTTTTGAATGAGTCAGTTGAATTGGAGAGTATACCAATCAATATCCTATGGGGAAAATGAATGATACACACTTAGTTTGACACATTTTTTGATACTTGTCCAGCTTAACTATTAAAAATATAATATAAGTACAACTGATTTATATAAGTACAACTGATTTAGCCATCAAGTACTCTCTTTTTTTTTCTTTTGTCTTGGTTATGAACCACCAATTTGGAAGAGTAATAAGTAATTGCCATTCCCAAATACATTTTATAATAATTAAATCATGTGATTTTATTAATAGATAAAGAAATAGATATTACAATCAATTATAATATGTAAATGGCAATTTAATCAAGCAACAAGAGCTATACCTATCGCATCTAATATAAGGTGATAAACACTCATAAATGAATTATTCAATGACAAACAAGAAGCCATCTCTAGTATTAATGATTATCAAGCGAATCCTATTGGGGCAATAATATGGTCATCAAATATAAAGAGTACCACTAATTAAACATCACAAGCTATGTTGAAGTCTTATATGTTATGCAAGCCCTATGGGTTACTATATTACTGACAAGCAATAGCCCCTATTTACTATGTCATATGATAAGAAAATCAGCCTTCTCCAACTAGGGGATCTAAAACCCCCTTCCACTACACCAAAACAACTCTTGAATTGTGAATCAAGATTTTTTAAGCTAAAAGAACACTTAAAATTTTGGATTATTCTGTAAAACATGTTCGGAGCTTAAAGCATCTCAGTAATTCAATTATGTTACTCAATTGCCAAGTTTCCATTTTTTTCCTCTCAATGCATATAATTTATCATTTGTGAAATTGTATTCACTTTTTAGGAATGAGATGTGCCTAATTTCAGCATGGAAAGGGACTACCACAAATGGTCCTTATTTTCTTTACACCTAGTCATCATATGAAGTTTGAAGTTTCGTTATACTTTCCTAAAAGCATTTACAGATGACAAGGACCTCGACTTGTAATATCAACTAAGTAATATTTATCTCCGCCAAAAAGAAAAACACAAATAGCTTGTTAGTGCACGTTTAGTAATACTTTCGGTTTCTATTTTGTGCTTTTATTGTCAAAATTTTAACAACATTAAATAAAAACTTGTTAGTATTGTAATTTTTTTCTTAAAAAAATACCAATGACATGTTTTCACAAGAAGTTGGCAAGATTTTGGAAATTTGTTGCAAAATAAATAAATAATTAATTAATTAATTAATTAAAGAATCAAAGAGTATACCAATTAATATTCTATAATTATTAATTAACACTAAAGCAAATTTACCATGTAGCTATAGATAAAAATCGTGACCATATGGCAAAAAACCATTGGTATTGTCCCTTCAAAGCTTATACCATACCTAAAGATAAAAAAGTATATGTAATGTAGCTTCAAATACCAAGCTACACCTGTGGTTATATTCCTATAATTTTACATGTAATAGGAAAAGGTTAATGACCCTATATCCACGTTTAAGTATATTTGCCATAACTATAGATATTTTATAAAAGTGAGTCTTTTGATATATAGGTGATGTCTTTTGATTAATAGTTATAAAATATATAATTTACATGTGGTAGACTACAAAATTGCTAACTCTCATCATTTTAATGCCCAAGGGAAAATTGTTTCTAGATGACAATGACCTTGACTTACAACTTGGACATGAATAGCAAAGACAAAATTTCTTGGCTTACAACTTGGATATGTGTAATATCCCAAATTTTCGAGAATATTTAAGTGTAAGTTAAGGACTTGATTGTGAGAAAAGATTATTTTGAGGCCTAATGTGAATATTTCAAAAGTTGAGGGACTTAAAGAGGGAAAGATTTTGGATAAGGATGACTTCTTTTCTTTTTCTTTTTCTTTCTTTCTTTTCTTCCCAGCCTTGCCCGATTCTGCTCTTCTTTTCCTTTCTTCCCGCTGCAGCCACTCGAAAGACAAAAAAAAGAGAACCCAGCCATGCCTTTGAGAAACCGGTGAGATAAGCTTGGTTTTCTCCTTCCTTTCTTGCTCTAGAACACACCTAGAACCCAGAAATCTTCCTTCCCTCTCTGCAGAAACCGGATTTGCTCTGCTTTGCTCTGTCCGCCGGTTGCTCTTGATTGTGGGTGATTTCTGGGCATTTTTTTCGGTAAGAACAGCCCCTAATTCCTTTGTTCTTGCTTGAATTGGCTTGGGTTAACTTTGATTGCTCTTATTTCCTTCAATTTTGGGTAGTTCCGTGAGCTTCCCCCTGTAGATCCCGCCGGCCTTCCCCAATCTACTAGCTCCGGTTCCTTGCTTGTAAATTCTGGTATGTGACAGTCATTTAAGGCTTAAATTATCCATTCAGTTTGCTGCCTTGTGTGTCCGAATTTGGCTAAAAATGGGGGATAATTTCGATAGCTTTAGGATGAGATTTAAGCATTGATTCAAGTGGAATTTATGTGATTGAGTGTTAATTGCTTGTTGTGATTTTTGGAGAAAATCCCGTGAGATTAGCTAGTGTTTTGGCCAATTTGTGGAAGTCGGGGTTACTGTTCACGTCGGGGTACTGTTCACGGGTATTGTTCACCGACACTGTTCACACCCCGAGGGCCAACAATTAACGGGGATTTAAGTGATTAGTTTGTGATATAAGAACGAATTTGGAGATATATGATAATGTGGAGATTTAGTGGTATCAGAGCTTAGGTTTAAATTAAGAGTTTTGGATTAAATTAAGTACCTCCAGATTGAGTGGCATCGGAGCAGATTGAGTGATATCTGAGCCTAGGTTTAATTGAATACCTAGGATTTGTTTTGGACTTGGCTAGCCAGTGGATTGTAGAATTGTGGTGAGATAAGTGATGGGGTTATATAAGGGACGATTCTGATTCATGTTGCCTGAATTTTCTCATCCATTTCGATGAGATGGTGACCTGATTGTTCTTGTTTCTTGCCTTCATACTCTGTGTGAAGTTGTGAAAGTAATCTTGCCCGTTATGTCCTGAAGACCTTGTTTTGAAACTTGGTCATTTTCCGATAGTCCGCACTTGTTTAGGCTTGTTACGTGAATAGAATTTTTGTGTGCTCTTGTGCCACAATTGTGAAATCTGGGGAGTTGCAGAGACTTTTGTTATTGATCCTGTTGGTCTCTACCACATAGCTGATTGAGAAATTTGCTCTGTTTGTCACATGACCAGTGGAAGGTGGGCAACCCTTGAGTTTGTAAGAGATTCCAGGCTATTTTAGCCAATGTTGTGTGTTTTTCTAGATGCGTTTTAGGAGCTGGATTACTTGGTAATTCCGTTGCTCCTTATCTTCTGAAAGTCTTATAATGAAGTTTCACTAGCTTCGTGGTCTTTTCATGTGGCTCATTTTTCTATATTGGTTAATCAAGAGCAGTGATCGATTCAATTGAAATTGCCATGTTTTGTGAAGATTGGCAAACTGTCATAAAGTTAAACTCTATTGTTGCCAATCTCTACATTCTTGATATCTGGAAATTGCTTGAAACTCTTGAAATCCATCTTGAATCTTTCTTGAGATTGCTTTGTACTTGTTCTTGAAACTGAAATCCAAAAATGGATAATGATTATTGAAATCCTCATTATCTTGATTCTTGTCTGAAATTAATTCTTGCATTGTTCTTGGAATCTATTCTTGAAAATCAATTGATATTTGGTTTTTGGAATCTAGTTTGAACTGTCCTTGAAAACCATTCTTGTTCTGACACTGGTTCTTGCTCAAATTCTGTATACTGCTCTTGCTCAATTCCGCATATTCTGTTAGTTCTTGTTTCAGTATACCTGTTGATCTTCTTGATTCTTGGTTTTTGTTCATATGGACACCTCTTTAAGAGGGGTGACGATTATCAGAAGATACCTATATGAGGTATTCTAAATTCTTGTCTCTTGCAAGTGTTAAATTCTATATTCTTTTAGCTTTGACTTGACTCTAAGATGTCTAGGATGACTTGATTGTAAACCTGCTTTGCCTCCATGAGCTACGAGGTAAAGGGGTAGTCCTTGAAATACTTGATGCCCTAGAGTTTTGTTCCAAGTGAAATGGTTCTTTGATCTGGCTGCTTGGATTTTTGTTTGCCCTTTTAATTAGAAGACATGAATCTTCTAAGCATCTTGATCTCAGCCATTGCTTTGTTCTGTTAATTAATTCTAGTACTTGAGGTGCTAGATCTTGACATCTTGACATCCTGGTTATATCTGCTCTTGAATCCGTGTTCTGATTGTCATTATTGGAACTCTTTTGTGGGCCTAATTTTTGGAATTCTATTGCTTGTTTCATGGTTAACTCTTGTCTCTCAATTTTGACTGCTTGGTTAAATTTGATCTTGACTCTAGGTGAATGCCATTTTGTTGCTGAATTCTTTGAGGCATTCTACCTTGCACTCTTGTGTTCCGATATTCTTCCAAGCATTCATATTTTCTATTGATTTTATTTTGTTGCAATTCTTGAGATTCTTACATGTCTTTTGATGGTCTTAGCTTTTAACTCTTGTTAATTGCTAAAATCTGTCTCTTGATTTCAGTTGCCTTGTTAAATATGATCTTGGTTCTAGTTAACCTTGTTTTGTGGTAGAATTTACAAGGCATCCATGCACTTGTTCATTCATTCATGATTCATATATTTATTGGATGCTTATCTGTCTTTGATAGAGTTCAAAGTTTTGTTGTGCTCGTCATTAAATCCATGCCATTCCTTGCCAACTCGTCTTGTGATGGGTTCGTAGCGTAACCCCACAACTGTTCTTTTGTGGCTTTGGTAGGATTTATTTTATTCCTTGTGCTTCCCATGTCACCCCAGCCTCCAGTAGCTTATTTCATGGTAAATTCTGTTAAGTAGTTAGTGTTCTGCTTTTATGATTTGTTGTGATTTGATATCAGAGTGGTGCAGCGGCAGCATAGTAAGCCATGTCTGTTCATAGAAAGTTAGTGGGGCATTTGCCTTGGATTGTGTGAAGCCATTCACCACTTGATATGGTCCTCAATTTGAGTTTTGGGGACAAAACTCCTTTTTAGGAGGG